TCCCTGGCCCAGAGCAGAGATGGAGCTGCCCCTCGGGAGGAGCTGCAGCCCCGGGGAGCTCTGCCCTCACTCTGCTCCAGCTGAGCAACCCCAGAGCCCTCAGCTGCTCCTCACAGCCCCTCCAGAGCCTTCCCCATCCCTGTGTCCCTCCTCTGGACACTCTCTGACACTGCAGTGTCCCCAGGAGCAGGAGCCAGGTGGTGTTTCCAGGGATGGGAGCCCAGATCAAGGCAATCTCACAGTGGTGTGTGGGCCCAGAGCAGCTTCTGCTCTTTCTGTGGTACACAAGCAGGCTGTGGCTCAGTCCTGAGGGATTGTCACAGACCCCCAGAGTGGTTTGGGTTGGAAGGAACCCGCAGAGATCACCCTCTCTTCTCTCTGCCTGCAGGGACACCTCCCACTATCCCAGGCTGCTCCAAGCCCATCCAACCCAGCCCTCCACACTTCCAGGGATGGAGCAGCCACACTCCCCTGGGTAGAGGAGCAGCAGGAAGAATTCAGATACAAATTTGTTCTAACAGCTGCTGTGGGCTTCATTCCTACTCCTCAAACTTCCTGCAAAATGCCTCAAAAATCAGATTTCAGGGGCAAGAAGCAGCGTGTCCCACTCCATACCTGTGTTAGGATTGTTCCTGCAGAGCATTTCCCTGGCACAGCCTGGCTTGGGCACACAGAGCAAGATGAAAGAATCTCAACTGGAAATAAAAACTCTGCACTGCACAAACCAAGGCAGCCTTCCTGGAGAGCAGTAATTGGAAATGCTTCCTTCAGTGGAAAGTTGGAGTCACTCTCAACTGTTAAGTTTCAGGGAAGTATTACAGAAAATTATTATTCTTGTAATACATTAACACTTTTGCATGTTCTAAAGGGAGCTTCTTCACAGCACATTTGCAAGGAGATATAATCATGGAGGATTTTTTCCCCCTTTTTCTCCTGCTTCTGTTCTAAAGAAGAATAAAAGTCCTCATTAACCAAGGGAAACTTATGAACCAATATGAGAAAGTGGAGCATACACTTCATTTTTTCTGGACAGAGTCTCAGTCTGTTACTGATAAGAGAGGGAATGAAATTGCTAATTACAGCCTGGAGCAAGGAGGGCTTTGAGGAGCGTCCTGCTGGAGCCTGAGCACCTGCTCTCAACAGGGAGAAATGTCTCATCTGCAAAGGACACAGTGAAATTACCATGGCTGCAACCTTTTATGAGGCCATAACACCTCTCCACATTACAGCACATGGATTAAAACTGCTTTGATCCTGTTCTGCTTGTACCCACCTGGCTTCTCCCCCAGCCAGGCACATTTCACCTTGCAAGAAGCTTTTGTTTGAATTTTACAGCCCGTTTAATAGCTTCAATTCCTGAAGAGATCTTTCCAGGAGTACAGTGCACTACCATAAAATATGAGGAGACCCCAGAGCTGCCTGCAGGACTCACATCCACATCCATCCTGCTTTTTTCCCTCCCTAGCACAATTCCAGAGGTCCAAGAGGCTTTGCAATGCCTCACTGAGGAGCTGTGGAAATCAAGATGTTCTGTCTGAGGAACACAACAGCATCCAGGAGGCTCCTTCAAAGATCCCAACCTGCACAACTCCTAGGCCAGATCAGGGACATGCTGAGGTCCCTTTTCCACAAAAAGCCTGGAATTTGAACTCAACAAAAAAACAAAGCTGCATTTAATATTCTGCTGGTAAGAGGAAGAAAGCAAATTAAACCTCTCAATTATTTGTGTGTATCTTTGATTAAAGAGCTGGAAAGTGATGCAGACAACTCCAGAACTCTTCTTTCCCTCTGTTCCCAGGCACAGGATGCTGCAGGATTCAGGATGACCTTGGTACAAACACGCAGTGACCAGCACTGGACCCAGGGAAGGGTAATTACTGTGCAGCACCTGGCTATCAAACTATTCCAATGAACTGGCACCATTTTATTTCCCCTAATGGTCACAAGAACATTTGTTCCTGAAGGTTTTCAGAATGATCTGGCAGGTAAAGCATCAGACTGGAGCCAAGAGGAGGAGCTCTGTAATGGGTTTTAACTTACCTGCTGTGACCTTCAGATATTGGCTGTCTCTCTTAAACTTTCTTTTATCAATACTTGATGGTCACTCTGCAGAGTCCAGACTTCCAAGGTGCCCAGCAAGGCCTGCCAGCATTCCCAGAACAAGTGAGCAGGAAGAACCAGACTGAGCAGAGGCTTTGGAGTGAAGTGTTTTTACTTTCAGGTGTCATTGTGCCAGACTTGTACCTCAAGCTAACAGCAGAATATACAGAGGATTCATTACAGAGAAACTCAAGCACCTGGAAATGATCAGCCAGGACTTGCACAGCCAGAGAATTCTTCTTACAGGGTTTAAATCCTGTGCAGAGGTTTAACAACACACTGAGAAATGCAGTTTGGTCAACAGGAATACAGGTACACAGGTTTAACAATTACTGACACAGGCCAGCAGCTCTCTCCCTTTTCTGTTTCACAGAGGGAAACTTCTCATTGAATATTATCACCATGGAAAGGGATCACTCCTGTGCCAGCTGGAAAATATCTATTTAATAACTCAGCACACATCTGACACATGGCCACTTCATGTTTGAACAAGCTCTGAGTTTGTGTCAAAAGAGAAACTAAGAGAACTCCAAGGGCTCACTGAAATAATTTAACACATGGACAAGCAGGACAGGGAAGGTATGGCTAAGAGCTGTACATTGCACCTGAAGCTCAGACTGGACTCCCAGCAGTGCCAGGACTCTGCTCCCTGCTGCCAGCACTAGCCATTGATGCGGTAATTCACGTGGATCTCGGGTTTGATGTCACACACCAGGGACAGCAGCTGGGACATCACCACCTCCCGGTTCTTCTGGAAGTTCTGCTGGATTACACTCATCTTTTCCTGAGTCTCCTTCTCCACTTCAGTGGTGCAGCTGCCATGGGAGCCAAGGGCCTACAAACAGCAAAGGAAAAAATGAATCACCATGCCAAGCTCTGTATTTTGTTATTCTGAAGCATCTCACACATTAATCTTTTTTGAGGGAACATTAATATTAATGTTAATATTAAATAAAGTTCTGCTGCATTTTTTGCTCAGATTTCACCTTAAACTTGTCCATATATTTCATCCTTAGCCCCTCTGCCTTTTATCCTCTTTTATAGAATCATCAAATTATTTGGGTTGCAAGGGACCTTAAAGATCATCTTGTTCCAACTCCCTGCCATTTATCCCATGAGTTTCTAAGGAGTGCCCAAACTACAGGTCCTGCTGTACAGACAGCTGGAACCCCTGGGCACAACTGCACTAGAGAGTGCATGAAAGTAACACCCAGGAGTCACTTTAAGCACATTGCTCCTAGCCTTGGAGAATCTTTATAAAAATCTCAGCCTTCCTTTCTGGTGACCAGGGACACAGCAAGTGGTCTCTGCCATGTCAGCACCAGAGGAAATGAGCCTGTGACAGGAGCAATGAGCTCAGTCTCTTTTGGGAGGCTGTCACTCAGGAGCTCATTAAGCTCTTCCCCTGCCAGTTGAGACCAACACACCCTGTCCTGAGCCACTTCCATGGGATTTTCTGAGACATGTGGCTGTGCCTCACAGGAAGGCACTTGGGGAAGTGCTCCTGCTGCAACTCACTCCACCCTGAGGGTGCTGCCAGGGCCAGGCAGCCCCAGGGCATAGCAAAGGGGCTGGAAATAAGAGAGTGATGGAGAACACCAACCGCTGCCTCCTTGGCCTTGAACTCCTTCTCCCTCTGCAGCCGGTACTGCTCGATCTCGGCCTGGGCCTCCTCCTTGGCCTGCTTCAGCCTCCGGTTCTTCCCTGCTCCACAGCACAAACCAAGGCAAAGAAACAGGAGAAAGCACTGAGAGTGTGATTTCCTCAAGCACAGCCACCACCACAGTGTCTGCTCCCTCTGCAGGGGCAAACCAAGCCCCTCCCAGAGTGTGGTGATCTCAGGAGGAGCCAAGCAAACCACGGCCAAGGTCACCGAGCCAGGAGCTCCCACCACAGAGCAGTGAGAGCAGGGGCACACATCAGGTCTGGCTTAGTCACAGGATGAGACCCTGACTGGTTTGGGCTGAAGGAACCTTAAAGATCATCCCATCCCACCCTTGCCATGGCAGGGACACCTCCCACTGTCCCAGGCTGCTCCAAGCCCCATCCAACCTGGCCTTGGATCCAGGGGCAGCCCCAGCTGCTCTGGGCACCCTGTGCCAGGGCCTGCCCACCCTGCCAGGGGAGAATTCCTAATTCCCAATATCCCACCTAACCCCACTCTCTGTCACTTTCCATATAAAAAGTCCCTCTCCCTCCTTTTTTTTAAGGCCCTGAAAGGGGCTCTGAGCTCTCCCTGGAGCTTCTCCTCTCCAGGTGAGCACCCCCAGCTCTCCCAGCCTGGCCCCAGCCCTGGCAGCAGCTTCATGACCTCCTCTGGATCTCTGCAGCAGCTCCAGCTCCTCCCTGTGCTGGGCCAGGGCAGCTCTGCAGGTGGGGTCTCACCTGGGCACAGGGGCACAATCCCCCCAGCCCTGCTGCCCACGCTGGGCTCAGCCCAGGATGTGTCTGGCCATAAAGGTGGTGAAGGCACTGCAGGTTCATGTCCAGCCCCTCACCCACCAGAACCTCCAAGTTCCTTTCTACAGGGCTGCTCCCACTAAGTTCTCCAAGTGTGTACCTGTGTTTAGGATTGCCCCAATGAATGTGAGTGTGCAGGTTCTGTGAGATCCCAAAAAAAGCCAAATAGAAAGAGCATTAAATCTTAGGCCAGACCAGCTGTGAAACCAAGAGCCGTCCTGGCCATTGCCTCAACTTCCCCTCCTGGACTTCCCACCACATTTTCCCCTCCAAGACTATCATCACTGGAGTGAACTGCAAAAATCTACCTCTTGCAACACTGTCAGGGTGTTGAACTGCAAGCCATATAAACAGAGATATACATATGTACTTGTTTAAAGCAGAAAAGATTTGCAAAATTGGGGGGTCTTTACAACCAGAATTTCTCTTGCACAACAGGAGAACCTAACTTGGATCTATTAGAAATGAACAGTTCTATTAATTACTGATATGGAAACAGACTAGCTCTATTAATTACTGATATTGAAACACACTGTTTTCACCACCTGAAGGCAAGAAGGACAGTGAGAGGCACAGCCAAGCCCCAAGCCAAGGCCAGGTTATGGTGACCGTGTCCTCCAGAGAGCCAGGAGCCCCCGAGCTCCTGAGCTGGGCTCTGCAGGAGGATCCCGACGCGGCTCCGACCCCTCACACTGCACTGAGCCTTCGTGGGGAGCTTCCAGCGCTGCTCTCCTGGGAGCCCCACAGATCCCCGAGCACACCCGGGGCAGGGCTGGGGGATCCCCGCTATCCCCCGCCCTCAGCGCCGGGCCACAAGGCCTGAGGCGGCCGCGCCGGGCCAGGCCGGGCCGGGCCAGGCCAGACCGGGCCGGGCCGAGCTCTCTTGCCACCACACCCCCGCGGCGGGGCCTGGCGTGCCGGGCCGTGCCGTACTCACTCTTGCGGGCCTCGGCCACCTTCTCCGCGGCGCGTTTCTCGGCCTGCAGCAGCTGCTGGATGCCCTGCGACTGACTCGCCATGGCGGCCGCTCCGTCCGGCCGGGCCGCGGCAGCGTCACTGCGTCACGCGGGACACGCCCACACGGCGCCGGCCACGCCCTCGGTCACGCCCCCTCATAGTGATAGTCCATAGAGGGCGTTGTAAGCCCCGCCCACAAATCCATCCCTGAGCTTAGGCCACGCCCACTAACTCGCCCTGTTAACTTAGCCACGCCCCTGTGCTGATTGGTCCCGCCCCCATACCGCCAGGCCGCGCCCCGTAGTTGTGAGGGGAGCCCCCGGTCAAGGCCGGTTTGGGCCTCACCGTCCCCCGCTCCTGAGCCCCTTTGGTGCCAAAATCCACTTAAACCCCTGCAGGAAGGCGCTGCTGGGGTTTGGTTTGGTTTCTTTCATGCTTTCTAATCGCTGGAACTGCGGCAGCCCCCGGCTGAGCAGTGACAAGGGCACCAGGGATGCTTTGGTCTCTCCTGGGCTGTGGTGTCTCCTCCCCACTGCTGGTGTCACCCACCTGTGTGATACCAGAGCCACTGGTGCTCTGAGGGCTTTACAATCATCCTGGACATCCTTGGCCAGGAGCTTCCAAGTGTCCCCTGAGGTGTCATCCCATCGTGATGTCACCCTCAGCACAGAGCCACTGGTGCTCTGAGGGCTTTGCAATCATCCTGGAAAACCTTGGCCATGGGCTCCCAGAGAGCCAAGTGTCCCCCAAGGTGTCATCCCATCCCAGTGCCACCTCCAGCACCTGTGTGATACCAGAGCCACTGGTGCTCCAAGGGCTTCACAACCATCCTGAACATCCTTTGCCAGGGGCTCCCAAATGTCCCTCAAACACCCCCATTCTGGTGTCACCCCCAGCACAGAGCCACTGGTGCTCTGGGGGCTGGCAAACTATCCTGGACATCCTTGGCCAGAGGCTCTCAAATGTCCCCCAACCACCCCCATCCCGCCCAACCCTCACCCATCACATCCCAAGGGCCATTGAAAGCCCTGAATGCAGCTCCCCCGGCACTTTCAGAGCATAAATTACAATTATTGTCAAATAATATCACTCTGATGAAGCCTCAGAGCCAGGACAGTGACTCATCGCTGCCGGGAGAGGCGGGGGGGCTGCCGGCCCGCCTCCTCCATCCCCCGTGATGGAAGGGACAGGAGACAATGAATCAAATGCATATTTATAGTGCTGGATAGGAATTATGAGTGTTTTCAGGGTGACCTTCAGCTGGGCCCAGCAGTTAAGTGAATGGGCTTAGCGTGCCCATCCATTCAGGGGGATATTTGCTTCAGTGAAAGATAAAGGGAAAGATGGGGAGAAGAGCTCAGGCCATAATTTTGGGCTTTGAAGGAAGGCTTGGGTGCTGGGATGGGGCACTGGGAGCTGTGGCATCACAGCCAGGCTGTGCTGGCAGAAGGAAAACCCAGGAAATCTGGCCCTACATCATCTGTCACAGATGGGGCAGCTCCAGCAAGGGGAAACGCTCAGGTTGTCACAGGAAATCATAGAATGGTTTGGGCTGGAAGGGGCATCATTTACTTCCAAGCCACCCTGACATGCTGTCTCTATTCCAAAATGTGTCACAGCCAAAAAAAAACCTGGTGGGGTCAGCTGGGGCAGATCCAGGCTCCTTTGGAGCAGCAACAACCCAGAAATGAGATTCTTTTCATCTGACCCCAAGCCCCAGGAGCCCCTGCCCTCCTCTCACCTCACACCAAGGCCACAAAATCATTAAAGTCTCTCTCTGACCCCCTGAGCCCCAGTCCCATCCAAAACCCACCATGCTCATTAGCTGCTCCTGTGTTTTCAGGAATGTTCCCTGTTAATTAAATCACTTGAGCTGAACCCAGAGGTGACCCCAGAGCAGGATGCTCTGAAGGGGATACCAGGGATCAAACAGGGTTTGGAGCAAAGGGGTCCAAAGGGGTCTGGCTCTGCCCTGAAGCCACAGGCAGCACTGGGTGTTGTTTTCCTCCTGGGTGATGGTGATTTTCAGACTCACAGCTTCTGTCTGTAAGGTGATAATGAGAACACTGCCCTTTTCTGCCCCCTGAAATACTTTGGTGCTGATCACACTAGATTTTCAGACAAAAATCCCTCCAAATTTCAGCTCTAGGTTGCTTTAAAAAACATGTGATGAGTTTTTACCTATTTCATTTTGACAGTTAACAAATGGAGACAACAACAGTTCATATTTAAAACAACAACAGTTCATATTTAAAACAATCTTTTGCTTGTTTGTGTTGCTTTCTTGTTTAAAATTGCCCAAAAGCTAATTGAAACCTCATGGTGTGTGTCACATGAAACACATGTGAATCCAAAAGCTGTTGGAACAACTTCCCCATTCACTTAACGCTTGAAAAAAATCACTTCTTGCTGGTTGCAAAAACAAAAAAAAACCAAACCCCATCATTTTCAATCCTCAGACTTGCACAGGTATAAATAAAAGATGCTGAAACTACTTGAATTTTACCAGAAATTGGTTGATAATTAATTAGCATCAGGAGCACTTCTGAGCTTGGCTTTTATTCCCTCAGACTCAGGGAACATGAGCTTGTCACTTGCTATTACAGAGGCAGCTCTTGCTGGCATCCCTTTATTTGTCCAGCACTGGGCAAAAGATATCAGAGGATGATAAACTTCACCAATCCTAAATTTCATGCACCTCACATTCAACAGAGACTGAAGAAAGGATATTTATAGGAGGATGAGGCTGGTCATGCTCTCTAGGATGGGAAAACAAATTATTAAAATAAACAAATGAAAGGATTTTCTTTTTCTTTTAGCTGTTTTCACAGTTCACAATAATGAAAATTAAATTAAATACACCTCTTGCTTAATTTTCATTCTTTTTCCAAAAGCTTTTTTATTTTCCTGCAAGCAATAAATATTTATTTGTATTTTAGAGATGCATCTCTTCTCATTCTGCTTTGTTCTACACAGGGTCACAACTCCAAGCTTGTGTCACACAGGTTCCTGAAATACCAGCAGATATTTCTAGATTATAGGGCTTTCTATATTTCTAGAATCAAGGAAAAGAAAATACAGCTTGTTTTTGCTTTTCTCACATGCCATGTCTCATTATCCTGCTGTCATTAAAGATTCCCAGACATATTTGGGAAGAATGAGACTTTAAACAGTGTCTGGCTCCTTTCCAGAGCAGGTAATTACATTTTTTCCTCTCTAAATTCCCTTGCACTTTCAATTGGATCTGTTATTATTCTCCATTCCCCAAGTTAAACTGTTATTCTGTGCAATTGTCTGCTCTTTCAAAGAGGTTTTGTGTTTGCCCCTGGGAACTGAGCTGATCTCTCTCTTCTGAGGTTTAATTCATTCACAGAAATGCACTGAGGTGATGCAGCTGCGGGATGTTGATAAAACATCATTGGTTGATTATTAAAATATGGTCGGTGAATAATTATTAACCAGCATTCATATTTTGGATGAATTTTTCATTTATGAACAGAGTATTAAAAATCAAAGCACAGCATAACAATAGAATTTACATAGAAAAATCAATTAAACCCTGAAATGCACAAATTGGTGCCACTTATCTGTACCTGACCTGTGCCAAGAATTTGGCCCAAATATCCCAAAATGAGAAAGAAAGCTCCATTTATCATCTGGAGCTGCTCTGTGATCAAGGACGATTTAAAGCCTGGAGTAACCCGATTGCAGTGATGGAATTACACCAGAATGGACTTACATTGATATTGTAAGGATTGATTTTTTAAAAAGCAGTTTAAGAAGCCATATTTCTGTGTCAGCCCCTGTTCTCCTCCTTCAGGATAAGAGAGCTGCTTTGGGGTGATGCTTGGCTGTGCCAGTGCCTTACATCACCCACCAGGCTCAGTTTCACATAAATCAGGATATTTTGTAAGAGCCAGCGTGGGAGCTCTGTTTATATGTTCTGTTGGGATGAAGTGTCAGCAGAACTTATTAATTCCTTGTCCACCAAAGGAAATCTCCATTCCTGTTTCCTTGGCATCTCCTGGCCTCCATCCTTAATCAGAGGTCAGGTGGCCTTTGCAAAGGATGTGGGAAGATAAATGGGCACAAGACTGAGTGTTCCCCATGGGGCATCTGTGTGTCCAATCCACTGGGATCCCTCCATGAGGGAACATCCTGGGATGGCCCTCATGAACCCTGGTCTGCACCAGGATTTTTGTATGTGACAGCAAAGCAAAGCAGCTCCTGGAGTAAATACAGCCATAAACAGCATCTCCTGTTGTCACTGACAAATTTTATGAAAGTCCGTTCACCAGGATTTTTCTCCTGAGAAGCTGAGAAGTCTCAGAAAAGAAATGTAAACAATAATTATCTGATTGCTGTGAAATGTGGTTTGGAGGTTGCTTACCAACAGGGGCATCTTTGATTGGTTCCATGTGAATTGTTTTTAATTAATGACCAATCCCAGTCCAGCTGTGTCAGATTCTCTGGTCAGTCATGGGTTTTTATTATTATTCTTTGTTTTAGCCTTCTGATGGCTCCTTTTCCATTCTTTATATAGTTTTTGTATATAATTTCTTTTAATATAATATATATCATAAAATAATAAATCAGCCTTCTGAAGCATGGAGTCAAGATTCTCATCTCTTCCCTTGTCCTGGGGACCCTCAAACACCACCAACACCCTGTAATGGGCAGAACTAAAGTTTTGCCTGCTGAAGGCAACTTCCAGTTCTTCACTAGAGCATTACCCCCACTCCACAGGGAAGAAACACACAGAAAATCTTGATTTTCCCCCACCATAAAAGATCTTTTGGCTTCCCAGTTCCACTTTCTCTGCCCCAAATCCCTGGGTAATGTCATTGTGCACTGTGGTACAGACACACTGACTCGCAGTGATGGATGAGACAATCCCTGTGTACGGAGATTGTTTGGTGCTCGCAGCTCTTTGAGTAAATGACACAGCACAGCACAAGCTTCATTATCAATATTGCCTGGAAATATCAAAAACATTGGAGGCCGCAGTTTAATTTGGATGCTTATCATAAGCTCGGGAGAAATGGAAATGTGTGACAATAACAAAACACTGCAGCAGTGATGCCAAGCAGCCTCGAGCAGCTGATGAATTTCTAGGCCACGAGGGATGGAGCTGCGGGTGCAGGGGGATC